CCAACTGTGGCAGAAAGTGCATTCGGTCCCACGTAAACATCGTCTTGTGTTTGTTGGCATACCTATGACTGCTAAGCCAACTTCATTTATTCCCTGATAAGTACAAGTCTTATGACCTGTCCATAAATAAGAACGACAATTCACTTACATATAACGATAGGATCCAAAGGTGAATTATGATGAGTGAGACAATATAAACTATAACAGATTATTTTCTAGCTGCATATATTTTATGAAAATACCAATACAAGTTGAATACGGCATCAAACACTGACAAACCTGAACCTTTGTATAAACAATGGCAGAATACTTTCATTATTGGGAATAAATTTGAGTCAAAGAAGAGACAGGCTATCAGATTGTGTCTCAAACTATTCAAGGTCTTAAGTTAATTGTTCATCATATCTTCAGTTTGTTTTCTGTCCTGTCGTGAACTATTAGTGGATGGACAACATTTTTCTGTGCATTATACAAGATCACTTGGAGATAATAACTATGTGTTTGATACACACGAGTTATTTTCTTTTACAATCGCCTTTTCTCTCCTAGTTTGTTATGTTTATGAAGTAGAACTTCAGTTTAAGTTGACGAAGCACAAGCCATAAACGTGCATGTCACAGCACATAGAACTGTTTGATTAAAACACTTGAAAAATTGTAACAAATGACAGATTCATACTATTAAAGAATACGTTAGATCGCTTGAATTTCGTTTGATATATTTATCTCGACAATAAAAATGGTATACATCTATGTGTGAATGAGCTTTGAGATAACTTGGTGTGTGCTGCTGATGTCGACAGATATAAGTAGTATGTATCATAAATTGCAAGCGAAGTGCCTGATGGCAGAAGGTTAAGAAGAGTGAAGAGAAGAGACCGATAACAGAAAATGATTAGTGTGAAAACGAAAGAACAATCAAGTCTGAGACAATTGATGGGTATTTTACAAATGAAGTGTTTACTATATAGTTCTCAGATTTTACTAAGAGATTCTGTAATTTTGTATTCAAATACATTCAGTTGTCCCCACAGCTGTCCTCGTTCACTACAACGTGAGTTCAAATGTCAGTTAATCGCTTCAATTGAATTGATGAACGAATATCGTAAGATAAATGTAGTGAAAAGTTGCTTTTTTCCAGTGAAATGATACACATATATGTAACATATTAAATATGGATTTGGAGTCATTTAAAACATAAGTGATAGTAAGATACATGTTTTGTAGGTCATTTGTAAATCATTGAAATTTTGATGGTAGCTAACAGATTAAATAATTTTTACATACCATATGAATATGGAAAGGAACTAAGTAGAGATATCAATAAAAATTAAGTACATTTGATAAACTAGAATAAAGATGTGAGAGTACAATAAATCCTTTGACAACATATTCTAATCTATATAATAGTGTAGGTTAATTAAGTTTTATCCGACCGGAAAATCATTAAGCTTATTCTGCATATATATTGATTTAATCTGATTATAATGGAGAAAATGTAGGTTTAAAGACGTTTTTCATTATGGACTAACAGTAAGTAAGTCATATGCAACGCAGAAGCTGGAATACCTGTGAATTGTCACACTACATCAACAGTGAGATGAAATGGTCAAGGTAAATTCCAAAACAGTAAAGTAATAGTCCAATAGCCAGTAACTTCTTGGTTTGTCCGCTCTTAGCTTTCTAACAACCTACCCACACATCGGACATTAATGTGTATCAAAGTAGGCGGTGGATGGGGATATATAATACATGTTCCAAACATATCGGCTGGTCAAGGTTCACTACTTCATCAATCGATTCGATGTCTTTACCCAGTGCACTGTATCTGACCTCACGATGGTCTCAACATATACAAGTAATGCTTCGAAGGTTTCCACGATCGGATACTAGTAACCTACGAATACCTATTTCTACAAACCATGAAATATAACGGATCAAGTCTCTGAGTAGTACACTTGTCTTTTGGTTAGCAGATGGACATGTTCCCTACCGCATACGTGATTTAAATTGGTGAAGGCCAAACCGAGATTTCTGAGTTCACGCTGAAATTGCATTAGACGCCAAATCACTATAGCTGATGAGACTTTCAAGATAAGTGAATAGGTCAATACATTCAACTACTTCACTCCCTATCATTTGTTCAGGTCGTGACGTAAACCAGTTCTAAGGCGACATTTTGCATTTAGAGGGAGACAAACTCATTCCAAACATGGTTGTGTGGTTGCTTAAGATTGTTAGAATACTCTGCACTTTATCAGTATCTACCCATCCAATTTCAAGTCAGAAACTAACCTGGTTTCCCCTTTATGAGCCCTAGTTAAGCGTCGGAAGATTATTGAGGCTAATATTTCGGATAATATATTAGTCAAATGGACTCCTTTGTGACTATCACCAGAGTATTTTTATTCTTCATTACAGACCAGGACTAACATCGATCAAGTCCAGTTCCCAGATTCCAAGTAGTATTTCAGTCAATCTAATAATTAGAACTGAACTATAATCCTGAAAGGTCACAGGTTGGCTGCACTCCCTCGCCTTAGCTTAGCTATGGCTTTTTCAGTTTTATCAAGATTTATGGGGTCTGTATAAATATCCCATCCAGGTTGTTTGGCAACATTACGCAACTGAAAAGTAATTCGAGAGCAGTTGAACTATTCTTCACAATTTCCCACTTATAGTTTCAATCTCCTGGGTTGGGAGTAGAATTTGTCACTTTTACGTTTAAGTTACCTTCTCTCCCCATCGTATTCTGAGTTTGTTGGGATGAGTTCACTAGTCTCTATCAGTCCAGTGGACGCCGCTGAAATCCACTGGTTCGTAATCGTTTGCCTATAAAGTGGTGGATATCACTCCTGTTCCAGCAGCTATCCCAACATACATTGGATTGAACATAACTTGGATGACTAACCGCTTTTCTAGTTGTTCCTGAAATACACTCTTGATTTTTTCTAATCGTTGAGCTAATCTCAAGGTTTTCTTGCTGACTTCTCTGCATCCAGTAAGAAACATGTGTCCGTACTAGAGCATGATTAGTCTAGAAACGTGCTTCACAATGACCAATAGTCTTCTCTTTAACCTCTCCAACGACGGCTGAGGACGATATAGTCTATTTGCACCCATCATTGAGTTGACTGTGGGGGTCCCCAGGTAGGACGATATCTTTAGGCTTAAATTTGGTGATTGTTAAGGATCAAAGGTTGTCTGATTATCGGTGAATCAAACGGCTGTCGTTGTCTGTTCATTGAACTGGAACACTGTAAGGCCATTTAAAATCTTTCACTTCGGTTTAGACTATCTACTTTAGCAGTAAAACCTTCTTCTACGGTTACATCTGAGGGTTTGCCTTTCTTAGGAAAGCAGAAAGCTTACTCTACGACTCATTTGAACAGTAGTGGGAGCCTGAGAGTTCATAGAAAGTTATCTGAGTATATCCCTAACTTTCCGTGTTCTTAACCCCTCATTTACTCAGATTGTGTATAAATGACTGTCCATTGGGATCCAGTCTGTTTTGCTTTTAAACCTAATGGTATACAATCCAGTGAATTACGACACTTAGATCCCATATGTGTGTTTCGAAGAAACCTTATTTAGATATCAAGGGATTCTAGAGTTTTATCTAAGAAAACCTGTTGTTCTATTTAACACAAGGTTCAAACATGCAGTTTACAGTACTGTTTTGGGAGACCAGGAATAACGTCTCATGAACCCGAATAGTTAGCATCAGACCGACACCAAACTGGACAAACATTTAGAACTATGAAGTACAGGATAGCCATTCCATTGTAGTTTGGAACCTCATAGTAATGTATACTCAATAACCTGTAAAACATTGAACCCAGTTCCTTCAAGTTTTATGAAGAACATGATATCATTTCTTAACTTTTTTCAATCTGCTATGTAAATATGATCCGTATTAGTGGATAAATGGTTTACCACATCTAATTTGGTCAACTTCCATTTGAACTTTTTGAAATTCATTTTAGAACTAGTCCTCAAAGAGTAAAATATTACAATCTGGATAAACTATTAGTGAAGATTAATATAATTCAAAAATGGTTTATCATTATGGATTGATATTATCTAGTGAAAATACTCAAAAACTATTTGACATTGAACAGTGGCTAATGGTTTCAGAATAAACATTTAAATAATAATGTGCTCTCTTTTCTGTAATATATATATATATATATATATATATATATATATATATATATATATATATATATATATATATATATGAAAGCTCAATACTCACAACTTTGAATTCTAAAACAATACAACAGACTTACGACGAAAGAAAAAGTATGTTTTATTTCAGTGAAAATAAGAGAATACAAAACGAGCGCCCGAAAAAAACAAACACAGTTATCAGCTATGATTTAGTAATTCACAGAAAGAAAAAAATTAGAAATATTATTGATATGCTTGTTGTATGTTTAATATAGAAACAAAAGAAAATAAAGAAAAATAAGTAATATTTTAATATATCATTAAAATTTATTATTATCCAATACATGAAAAGAAAATCCAAGAATAAGTGAAATTTTTTTTTAGGCATTAGAGAAATGGAACAAAAAACACACCCAGAAAACTATAAAGATTCAAAGAAGAAAGTCAATGAATACAAATGAGATAGACATAATGTAATAGTTTTAAATAATAAGATAAACCTTAAATAGAAAATAACAACTAGATAGATAACGATAAGATATTAGAATGAATCAATGAACTTAGACAAAAATTCAAAAGAGAATAGTCACATACTGACATAATTTATGTAGAAAATAGAACTGTGTTAGAACATTTGGCAATCTTGTATATGTATATATAGGAGAGGCATAATATCCAAAAAAAATAATGGTATATAAAATCTATAGTGGTAATAGTAAGGATTTATATATATATATATATATATATATATATATATATATATATATATATATAATATTCTTGTCAAAGTGAATGGTGAACTAAATCATCAGTGCCACCGTTACCAAACTAAGCTTGTGCTGAAAAAAACACATAAAAAAGCACAAGAATTGCACGAATCAATAAGTATTTTACTGAAAAACTATGAGATCTTAATCAATAACAACAGAGTAGTGACATTTAAATCCAATAATTACACACTTCAATTAATCAATATTTTTTGAAGACTCTGATAAAAAAAGGTAATACGACTGTACACGATAACCAAATACAATACTCATGTAGTCAGAGCTTTTGATTACATGATTTGTATGAGAGCTAGCTGAGTAAAAAATACTATGTAATTGTCTTAAACTGAAGTAGAATGAAGAACACAGAGTAGGAACTTGTGAATCAATGGTTGAAAATCACAAAAAGAAATGATTGAGATTTAAATGAATGGACAGATTAATGATAACAATAACACCCACAAGACATATTTGTACATTAAGCTAAAAATTATACAAGGTGTAGAATAAACAAACTTAGATATTTAGTTATCCCACTGGTAAATAAACCTCATTGGGAATACGAAACAGATAACTTGAAATATAAATAGTTGTTCAACTAAAATCAGTTAGTGATGTTAACTATCACACTGAACAATCTCCACAAATTCCCTACATAGTAATAATAATCAGGTGCTCACTGGTGACTAATTTTGTTAGGTAATTCTCATAGTTTTAGTGAGAAATTTATTTATTTATTTGAACACATAAATATTGGTACAAGAGGGCACCAAATATATATGCGCCACACAAAACAATGAGAATTCGAAGATAAAAAAAGAAGGTAAGGAGCGTAAAAAATGAACAATAACAACTACAGATTAGTGTAAGGTAGTGTAATAGTGGTAAAAATAATAATAGTAATAATGGGGGAAACGGAAAGGTACAATCAGAAGAAATCTTTCAGTTAAGGAAGAAACAACCATTTTTCATGAAAAAAAAGAAGGTTACAGCAGGATCGCCACTGGCTTCTATTCTGAGCCATATCTGATAACGTCTCTAGCCACTGTGTTGCACCATCTCCCGGACCCCAACCTGGGAGTAGTGAAGGACCAACACAAGCCAGCCCTTTACAGCTTTCTTTTATACCAAGGCACCACGTCATACATTGACCACTTCTCCGCTTTATCCAACCAGTCCCAGCGTCGACAACTAATGCACGATGTGGAGTTCTCTGGAACGACATCCGTAGAACATGTCCAAGCCAACGAGGTCGGTGTTTCAAGATGGTGACACCAATTGCATTATCGTCTCTGCGCCCGAACACACGATGCTAAACCTCTGCATTACTAACATGGTGTTGCCACTGGATGTCAGCAATCCTTCGGAGACAGCGATGATCGAACACAGAGTCGTCTAACGTCCTCAACTCGGAGAGACCAGGTTTCACAAGCATAGAGCAAAACTGCTCTCACCGACGCGTTGTAGATCCGACCTTTTACAGTCAGACTAACATCACGAAGGCGCCAAAGGTGGCCCAGATTGGCATAAGCCGCTCTGGCTTTCACTATACGTGCATTGATCTCATCACTCACACCCCACCAGCACTTATGCAGCTACCTAGATACACGAACTTTTCGTCTACTTCTATATGCTCATCATCCAGGGTGAGTACAGGATTAGAATCCTGCCAGTCTTGTAGAAGTACTTTGCACTTCAAAGGTGCAAAGCACATACCATACCTACGGACACTGATTGCCAACTGATCAAGTGCGGATTGCATGGCTTGGGCATTGTCGCACAGTAAGACAATATCATCCGCATATTCAAGGTCGAGAAGTCTTCCTCCAGGTAGCAGATCCACACCGCCATACTTACATCCATCAGAGCTGTTTCCAGAATGTCATCGATGGCAAAGTTGAAGAGGAATGGTGAGATTGGGCAACCTTGCCTAACCCCACTGCTCGAATGGAACAATGGAGAAAGGTAGTTGTATGCCCTCACTCTGCCTGAGGTGTTTGTATATAGGGACTTTAAAATGTTAATAAACTTCTCAGGCACACCCTTCTTCAATAGACAATCCCAAAGAACAGTCCTGTCCAACGAATCGAAGGCAGCCCTAATGTCAAGAAACACTACGATTGTTGGCCTTTGATAAGTATGGCGGTGTTCTAACATTTGGCAGAGGGTGAATATATGATCAATACATCCTCCACCAGAACGAAACCCAGCCTGCTCATCGCGAGTCAATCTTTCTCGGGTTTTGAACAACCTACGAAGTATAACGGAAGCCAATAGTTGTTACAGGAACGACGTGAACCCTTTTTAAAGATAAGGACAACTATCGACTCATTCAATGACGTTGGTACACTCTCTAGTTCCCAAACCTTTGTAAACAACACAGTCAGTTCCTTAGCCAGAAAGTCACCACCATCTTTAAAAAGGGCCGGAGGTAATTCACCTGGGCCCGGTGATTTGTAACGCTTCAAGAGTTGGAGTTCCTTGAGGACTTCCGCCTCATTTGGTGAATCAGCCGTCACCGGCCATGGAGGGCAGGACAGTCCAACCGATGTTGCCGGAGTAGTAGGCCAGTTGAACTGCCCTTCGAAGAATTCCGCTCATCGTCCAAGACGTCGATAGACGTTAGTGATTGGCATCCCGTCATCCTCACAAATTGTTTCGCTCACACCAGACTTCTTGCTGCCAGTGGCTCGGATGAGTTGGAAGAGCTTCCGGTAATTACCAGATGCAGCTGCTGCTTCCAACTCATTAGCACCCTTCGACCACCAGGCTTCTCGGTCCTTACGCAAGCTTTGCCCAATTTCATTACGTAACATCCTTCGTTTATGGTCAAACTCACGGTCATCCGGAGTAGACCGATAGGATAGCTTGGTTCGATACTTACTAGCAACAGAAGTTGCAACCAGCTTGCTAACATCAATCCTTTGATGGCGGTCACTTCATTGTCCACTGAAAAGTAAGGCAAGATTGGCACAGACCAAGGCATGGTCAGAGTCCAGATAGGTACTCCAAAAGGAGCGACAGTCTTGTACACAACCACACCAGCGGTAGCTGATCGTGATGTGATCAATCTGAGTCCAGGCTTGGGATGCAGAGGGAGGATGCCAGGTGGCATATCGGCGATGACTGTGCCGGAAGTTAGTGCTAGCCAGAAACAGGTTGTGGTCTGTGCACAGTTGCAATAGACGGTCCCCGTTATCTGACCTGTGACCAACGAGTCCCCATCGGCCACCTAAACGACTCTCTTCTGTGCCTAGACGCCCGACCTGAACATTCAAGTCTCCTGCTAATACTACAATGTCTGTCGAACGCACTTTCTGGAGAAGAATAGTTAACTGAGGGTAGAATTCATCCTTGATTGTATCCAGGCTGCAATCTGTCATGGCATAGGCGGAGATGACGAAAAGACATCGTTTCTCACGCCGATTTCTTCTCACTTTGATGGAACTTTCTAATCTAACAGCACATAACCGACTGTTATTGGGGATCCAATCGATTAGTGCTGCCTCAACTCTAGCGCCTAGTGAGACACCAATGCCAGCAAAACCAGACAAAGATGCCACAGGGTCCCCGGATAAACGCACGTAAAACAAGCTTTTTGAAGTGACAGATGGAGAGCGAATTTGTAGTACTTCACCCGAGCCTTAAATACGGGTCTCGGATAGACAACAAACATCGATATTAAGACTTTCTAAAGATATAGCCAGCCCTATCTGTTGTCTGACCTGCATAAGTGTGCGAAAATTGAAGGCAGCTAGTTTGGATGTTTCACGTGATTTCAGAAAAACTGCTTCAGTATTCGTATTTGGTGGTAGCGTACAATTTTTAACCAGGCAGTGACTCGAAAACGTTTAGATAGAATCGAGTTTCCGCCATAGGCGAGCTGCTGTATAAGTCGAAAAATAAAGATACACAGAGTGGGAATAAAAAAGAGTGAATAAATGACGTAAATAATAATAATAATAATAATGTGAATCGTTTGATTGTTAATTGAAGCAAGACAAGTATTTTTCATAAATATCGACATTTCATCATATTTATGTGTGGGCTGTGATACTGCTCGGGTGCCCGGACCGAAGCAGGTGGTTTTCTTAGGGGACCACACTCCGAGCCTTTGACCTAAAGGTCTGACCCACAAGGCATTGAGTAGGACTTCCATGGTAGTGACTGTATACACATGGCCATATGAGAGCATTTCGAGAGGGAGAGTGGAATCTCCTCCCCTCGGCCGTACCGGAGATTTTGAGGGCACCCTGAACAGAGGAGGTCAACTATGTTGAGTATGAGACAGTTACTGATCAATGACAATGGAAGATGGTTCTGCGATATAGTGAATCGAATGAATCAAACTACTGGATCAGTCAGTCAGTCACTGGTCTGAAGGATAAGATCTTGTGTTCAGTGTTTGGGGGGATAGTGGAAGCCCACTCCCGAAGATTTACATACACGGACGAAACAACTACCAAGTGCTTCTTGGTTTTACGTAGTTAATTAAGATCAGTTCGTAATATTAACCATGAAATTTAAGTGTTTCTACAATAATAAATCGTCGAGCTATAAAGTAATATTTGGACAAAAAATAACCCATGACCGTTACTTGTGTTATCATAATACATTTTTAAGACAGAAAAAACATTTCAGATTGTTGACTACATCAGGAAAAGAAATGTTGGTTTGTTTGAGATTTGACTGTCCAAATCATGAAAAAAGGTAAACTTTAAAGTGCTTTGACCATTGACCATGGAATACGCGTAATAATCTGATACGATAAGCAATCAACAGGTGAGGACATATGAAAGAAACAAAGTTCATAGTTTTTTTGAATATCGGTGCAATTCGATGCGCAAAGGTAATACGTTTTATATGCATAATAACGATAACATGGTCTTTTGGAGAGATTTTAAAATATTTAACCTCAGTAAGTAGGAACAATGAGATTTACATGAAAATTGGATTAGATCTCTAGTAGGCTCGATGCATAATTAAAGTAAGTCAAACGAAAGATATTTAAAGCATCAGATGAAATAAGACCAGAATATTAAGTTTTACATTATTTAGGATACATCATCTCTAAAGAATAACTATCAGTTATATTAGAACATAAACACGCGAATAAATTGATCATATACGGTTGCTCTATCTCTGAGAACATATTTTTCAAAAGCATAACAGAATAAAAGTATCTTGGATAAACGTACTTAGAAAAATTAATAAACACACTAAATTATGGATATCAATGAGAATTTCTAGAACAATATGGCTTAGTTCGCATAAATGTGTACTGCAGAAGTAACAATGTGAATTTTGCCGGAAAGCGAAGATTGTTGGATGAAACTAATCTTCATTGATATAGTGTGATTCATAAGTAGAATGAAACATTAGAATGCTCTTAAAATACTCAAATCACTTATATTTACGAAAACTCCAATTGCTCTGATATATATGGGCAAGTATTGACACTGAGATGGTGGGGATTTGTAACTCAGGTGGATGATTTTGATGGAGTTTTGTTCTCTGAGCTGGATGGTTTGGTCGTGGAGCTTTCATTGTTCTTCTGAACGACATTATCGGCACAAACTTAAGTGTCGTCACTGATTGTGACATTAGAAAATGTGGGTCTGAATACTATGGGGAGTACAAGTTTCCCTAATATTGCGAATATTGTTTATTAACATGTGCTAACTAGTACAAAAACAAGACTCAAGCCTTTCTGACAACTGATGACAATTATGCTTAAATAGACTTACTTGTATCATCTATTATATCTGCAAATGTTGGATTTTCATGTACTTCTGTCCCACGGAAACCATAAAGACGCATAAAGTAAGCTTCGATGGAAGCTGGCGTTTTCCCTTTCGTTTCAGGTAGATACAATCCGACAAATATTAATACAGCCAACAATACACATATAAACGGTATAAAAGCATAAATACTAATATAGATCTGTGAAGAAAAAAGGAAAACACAAGAAATTAAATAGATAAGATCAAAACATTGAAAAAGCTACTCATTTTTTATTTCACAAATAGAAGACCGGACATCTTAAAATATAATTGAATACATAATTCCATTTTCAAATAAATTAGCAAATAGAAATATTCAAATAAACAACGTAGGACCTAGAGCACATGTGGGTTAGTTCAGATTACCACTGTTCGTATCAGCATTATGAGTGTTTAGTATATAAAATCTCCAATCTATCATAACACAAGTTCAACAGATTGTCGCTAAAGGTGATGATTTACTGACATTTTATCTATTTTTTATGTGCTACAGAACAAGTGGACAATTTTGAGTAATACTAGGCATTAAGTACTAGGGATAAAAGGTGGTAAACCATTTAGCAAAGGTGTCAACCTTCATTGACTGAAGTTGTTGGAAATATAACTAATCAACATCTGCCGATGTATTATATATAGTGACCTTCATAAAAACAGATTAAAAAAATGAACAAGTCAAATCAAGATATGACATTAATTTACTAAGTCATAAAATGTTGACATGATCCTTGTGAAGAGAGATAAGGTATTTTTAGTTTGGAGTCGATCATACTACTACAATCTATGGTTGTGACCTAAATGGATTAACTCTTGATCATCTTTTAAATATTGAATACTGATTTATTTATTGATCTGTTCAAGATGATAACATATAGTGGGTTACCATCTCCACTATGACTCAACATACTTCACCGGCCATCGATAAGAGCGATACAAAGTTACTACTTAAAATAAGCGATCATTTAGAGATGACCGTGGAATACAGAGTTGCTAAATATCCTTATTTTGAACAGACTAATATTTTCAAACCTAGTACAAAATTACTGAGAACGATACGTTGTAAATTCAATTATTTCTGATCAATCTAGCATCTTGGTCATCCTAAAGGTTGCCTAGATTGATATAAGCTATGGTTATTTGCTATACAAAAATAGATCACTCTATAGTGCCAACATTCAACATAACTATCTAGACGCACATACTACTCGAACATTGCGTGTACTTTAATTTTTAATTATTAGTGTTTAACATATTTGATTGTTATATATATTCATAACATCATGCTATCATTATGCTTATGAATAAAGTTAGGTAAATAACGTCTGGTAGTAAGTAATAATAATATTGTTTGATCTGTCAACAGCTATATTAGTCCTAACACTTATATGTTTCATGGTTTTAAATCATGAACTAATATTTGCTAGACCACTAGTGAAAACCAGGAAGCACTAGACAGCTGGTTTGTCCTAGAATGGGACTCCTCGAAAGTGTGCACCCACAACCTCACCACAAGGAATTAAACTCAGCTTCTGTCTTGCATCTAACGCTTAACCTTCAGAACACAGATACAACATCCAATGCTTTACATATCTAGCTTCAAACAATTGGCCATTATCTTGATAACTGTCTCACACCCGTCATGGTTGAACTCCACTGGTTAGGGTTTCCCACTAGAACTCCAGGAGTTGTATCTTAAAGCTACTTACCAGTAAGCATATGATTATTATCAACATAGGGTCATGCATAAGCACCGTTGAGTCTCATACTAAAACGAAACAGTTGTTTAGTGTTTTTTGGTAGTTTAGCTAAGATTAGTTCATGATCTAAAAAAATAAGAAAATTCTGTAATCTGCACAAAACTTTAAAGTGATTTATTTACTTGTCTAAACGAAAAATCATTACCTTGTATTAACAGATGATAATTAGTGTTTGTGAGTAAATAATGAAATTTACAGTGTTAGCTACCTTTACTCTTATTATGTGTGTGTTCTTTGTTGTTTTAAGATATAAAAAAGTATGTACAGATACTTTGAACTATAAGACAGTTGATCAATATTATTAATTAAAACAAAACACCAGAAATATGCTGAAAAAATGTTAAATTAACTATTGAATTCCGATCACATTTTCCTCGTCATTGTTGTTTACAGGATTCTTTCTTTATAATTTAATTAGGAATAAAGGTTATTCCGTTAAATAACAATGTAATCTTATAGGATGGGTTTTCTGGATATTATAGTAATTTCAATGGTTAAGATCATGAGTCAGTTGAAGCTTAGTTGCGTAAGTGTTATGTTGGAAGACAATAATAATAATAATAATAATAATAATAATAATAATAATAATAATAATAATAATAATAATAATAATAATAATAATAATAATAATAATAATAATAATAATAATAATAATAATAATAATAATAATAATAATAATAATAATAATAATAATAATAATAATAATAATAATAATAATAATAATAATAATAATAATAATAATAATAATAATAATAATAATAATAATAATAATAATAATAATAATAATAATAATAATAATAATAATAATAATAATAATAATAATAATAATAATAATAATAATAATAATAATAATAATAATAATAATAATAATAATAATAATAATAATAATAATAATAATAATAATAATAATAATAATAATAATAATAATAATAATAATAATAATAATAATAATAATAATAATAATAATAATAATAATAATAATAATAATAATAATAATAATAATAATAATAATAATAATAATAATAATAATAATAATAATAATAATAATAATAATAATAATAATAATAATAATAATAATAATAATAATAATAATAATAATAATAATAATAATAATAATAATAATAATAATAATAATAATAATAATAATAATAATAATAATAATAATAATAATAATAATAATAATAATAATAATAATAATAATAATAATAATAATAATAATAATAATAATAATAATAATAATAATAATAATAATAATAATAATAATAATAATAATAATAATAATAATAATAATAATAATAATAATAATAATAATAATAATAATAATAATAATAATAATAATAATAATAATAATAATAATAATAATAATAATAATAATAATAATAATAATAATAATAATAATAATAATAATAATAATAATAATAATAATAATAATAATAATAATAATAATAATAATAATAATAATAATAATAATAATAATAATAATAATAATAATAATAATAATAATAATAATAATAATAATAATAATAATAATAATAATAATAATAATAATAATAATAATAATAATAATAATAATAATAATAATAATAATAATAATAATAATAATAATAATAATAATAATAATAATAATAATAATAATAATAATAATAATAATAATAATAATAATAATAATAATAATAATAATAATAATAATAATAATAATAATAATAATAATAATAATAATAATAATAGTATTTGCAAGGTCTGACAGTGGTACCTAATGTAAAGAGTATCACTTGAATATGTGCATTTATTAATTAGACATTTTATTTGATAACTAGAACCAGAAAGCTAAATATACCACACAAACATTAATCAATTCAGTTGTTACCTAAATTTCATATGGCAATAATCGAGCGAGTGCTGAAAACTAAGTCCAAGACAGTTATTTAAACTGGTTTGGTGCTTTCAACTCACTGCAACCATCTATAATAAGCATAAAGTAAATTGAAATATAGAGGTAACCTCGTTAGGTTTGTAACAACGAAACATTATTCCGTGATCGCTGTCATCTAACTAGTTAGAATTTATCTTAGCTTTCTTTAATATAGTGACTACTTATCAAAACTTCTTAATCAACTGGCTCTACGGGTAAATAGAAAAATGAGACTCAATATGTATATGAGATGTTAAGCGCATCTATTGTAGAAACTAAAAGCTGTACTAGGTCATCCAAACTTTCTTAAGTGGGAAACAAAGTTTTGAATCTGTGATCTGAAATGTTTCCAGAGAAATAAACCAATCCTTGGGAATAGCAAACTTTATTAAAACTTGACTGATGAATTTGAATGCTGTTAATTTCACGAAAATCGAAATCCCTCTATAAGTAGACCATACAGTGTAAGGACATGTGAACTATTTTCACAACGAACAATAGTACAGAAGTTAGCCCAGTTGGCCATCAAATATTCAGAGAAAACTTGATTTTAAAGTACGCAAAAAAAACTACAAAATAATCAGTTGTTACATAGACTCCAGTAAGTAACATCGACTGGACTTTACTATTAATTGCAAAATTGTTACAACCGGACTATATGAAATAATCGAACGCAATAGCATGATAGATAAAGTTCTAGCGTTTAGCAAAATCTAATTGAGCGATAGTTTATCAGTCTAGATCAATGGAACGACATGAATTTTCTCGTTGAAAAGATATATTTGAATTCTAATCATAACAGTAACACTGTGAAAGACGATAACTAAAACTAGTTCGTTGTTTGAATAAGAATTATGTTACAACTGAAGTTTGGATAAGGATTACAACATTGAAAACATCAAAAGTATTTTGATAAACTCAAAGAGCAATGCAAGCACATTTGGAAAGGGTTTTTCTCCTTCTAAATGCAAAATGATTCTTCAGAATTGGTCATTGTTAGCATTTAAACTAATGATTGGAAGTGAAATAGTTTATTGTCGGTCATTCCACCTATCTTGGGAGTCTCATCAGTTCTAATGGGTTGGTGTCTGGAGAAATCTTGTCACGAATTCAGAAATCCCCGTTTGCTTTTGACAACTGGAGTCAATTGTGGGGTAGGCGGTATCCATATGCTAACCAAAAGATGAGTACACTTCCCAGCAGTTGGCCGTATCCTACTTTATGGCTATAAAACATGGTTTATGAAAGTAGCAGATACGTGTGTCGAAGCATACATTAAAATGATCGAACCCAGATAGATGGTTCACAAATTAACTGTATGCTAAGCATATTGTTCAACCATGTTAATAATGCTGGCTGTAGAATTTTTGAACCATATATTTGTATTTGATAACTTTTATGTATGATTATTTTCCAGACTGTTGGGCGGAATGTTTGGGTTATTTCGACTTCAACTGCTGAGGTTTTTACAATTATAGTTTCCGTTTTTAAAACCTTCCATTGACTTAATGCCCAAATATTATGCAACTATTAGTTCGAATTTCGACGAAAGTTCTTACAAACCACATTGATATATATATTCGAACTAAAAGTTGCATAATATTTGGACATTGAGCTAATGGAAGACTTTAAAAAACGCAAACTATAATTGTAAAAACCTATATATAAACATGTCGACATATTTTTCAACAGGGTATGCAATGTGTTCTCACCTCAAATTTTGTAGCTGAGCTCCAAAATGGAGGAATGGTAGGCTAGGCAGATACAGACGCAGCACATGCTAGTTCAAGGCCAAATAATAGGTGAGAGACGTTGATGGGTCAACATTGCTGGCTGGGCTTTGGCTACATTATCTGAGTGACACATGTATACATATACACAACCCTATACTGATAATCATGATGTGCTTACTAGTGACTAACTTCGAGAGGTAATTCTCAGAGTTCTAGTGAGAAGCCGCAACCAGTGAAGTCCAACCGTTTTGGTTGTGAGGAAGTAACTCATCGAGAACAATGGAAGATGGTCACGCAATATAATGGATTGACTGAATTTAGACATTAATACCGGTGAGTGTCAGCTCAATGGTCGAAAGGTTAAGCGTTCGCGCGAAACCAAAGGTCCTGAGTTTGAGTCCCGCGTGTGGAATTATGGATGTATACTGCTAAGGAGTCCTATACAAGGACGAATAAGCTGTCCGGTGCATCCAGATTTCCAATAGTGATCTAACATCGATCGGTTTATGATCTCAGTGAAACTCAATAATCCACACAACCCTATACTGATATATCATCAAGTTTGCGTGCATTTTCACTTGGATTCCCAATACAACTTCTGATTCATTCTTAGTCTGTTCACTCAACTACCAAGTTAGGCTTCCGTATGGAGAGAGTGCATAACAGTATCGGGATCGGACGACCGTTAGACAACATTTCTGTCATGTATTTTGAAAAAGACTTATAATGCTACAAGTTTCCGGATAACTTTCTTTACATGCCCAGTGTGGTTATGAAATCACAACTGTTTATCTGATAATTCTTATTTCAAACCCTATCCTATTTGTACATCCATAATGTAGGATTTCATCTGATGTGGTACATTACATTACTCTACACTTATATAATACTAATCTTATGCTTTAAACAAACAAACAATAAAATCGAAATAATTAAGAAAATCTACAACTGATAAACATAGAAAAAGATTACATACACAAAGCGTTATCATTACTCATAAATAACAACAGAAATTAGACTGATTTAACTTACAACCAACTGTGGGAATATTAATGCTACAATAGCATTGCATAACCAGTTGGTTGCTGCAGCAATAGAGACAGCAGCATCACGATTTTCTTGCGTAAACAATTCAGAAACCAAAAACCATGGAATAGAACCTAAAATAGTTTTTTTCGAAAGAATCTTTTAAGAAATTCAAAAGGAATGGTGGTTTTTAAAGTCAACTTTATCTGAAATATTGTACTGTTTCTAAACCGTATCAATTGCTAAGGGGTAATAGTTTAAACATAAAATCAAATGTATGAAACTAAGTTTCATAACTAGTACAATTTTCTAATAGTAAAGACATATGTTTACTTACTTACTTACGCCCGTTACCCTTCGTGGAGGAGCATAAGTTGCCCACCAGGGGGACACATGTAAAACTTATTAATATGTGTCTTCCTACATCTAGTTCGAATTTGAGTCAATAATGAAAACCAACTTTACTGATAAGTGTAAACAACAAGATTCTCAACAACATTGCTTCTTTATTCTGTCAACTGGGAACATACAGAAAGCTGGAAATTTTACATTTTGTAATGACTTTCCAATGTCGGTGTTAATTTTTCATAGAGAATAATAATTTGTTAAATACTTGCAAAAATAAAATGATCGAGTCTGGAGTGTTATAGTCTCTCGTCATTAGTTGATACATTTTCTCTTTCAGTCTCCTTAGGAGTATAGATAGTTCTATGATACTAGTATTTATAAAGTATTGATTCTCTATGCAAACTTTCAGTACAACGACAATCTGTTTTGAACAATATTCATTTCCCTTCTCCTCATCTCTCATTTTTACCAACACATACTCATACATTTAATTCAATATCTGTATATTCATTTAGAGATAACAATGTAAGCCTACTACTAAATGTGTATTTTAATCTCCTGAAACTGAGTCATTCAATGCACAACGAGACTCCCAACGTCTATGCTGTAGAGTGGATGAGAAAGAATTATTGAGGGGTTTATTAATATTATGGATGAATTCTGTGTTTATGATGTACTTAAACAAGACTCGAGTTTGGTCGTTCAACTGATCTTAAATGCAAAGCAATTCGGTTCTGTGTAAGCAGTAATCCTCTTTTTACAGATTGAGCACTCAGTTTTTATTGAGACAGCATCATTTTTCATGCTGAAAGGGATCCTTTCAACCGAATCGCAGTTGTGATTTTCTGGGACACAGAAAGATAGTGATGAAAATTCATCCTGTTTTTAAGTATAATTTGATGTACTTATTGGCTACTCTGTTTTATGTAAATGGATTCAAAAACTTAGTTTCAGCTACTACTCCCGGAAGATCGATGATGAAAGTAATCTGAGTGTGAAAAAAGCTACCATCTCTACGAAACAACTTCATGTACTCTTAAGCTTACGAATATTCAGTTAAAGGGACTTTTAGCTGAATTACACCGATCCAAGCATATCTAATTGATTCCAGATGATCGCCGGCTGTAGTCATGAAAACTGGAAAATACCACAATGTACGAAGACTACAGGTTTAGACAATAATTGCTTCTGATGCTATCACAAGGGAAGGAAATCGAAGAGTTAAATGACATCAATATCTGTTTAGAGACTTTCTAGAGGAAATTTAGTGGTCACCTAAAAGTCAAGAGAATATTTTAATAATAAACTGTAACACTAGATGAAAAACAATGCAGCAGTTTGAAAAATAAAGTTTGAATCCTGATAGCATTTTTATCAGATATTTTACAGTTATCTAATTTGTTATCAAATTTCGAAAAATTAATACTGTGTAAAAGATGGGGTAAAATGATGCAGTTATTTGTTCTGAGATGCCTGAACATTATTCGATGTAATATTGAGAAGTAATTCAATCCGCGAACTGACTGTTATTATCAACTACTTTTACTTATAACAAATACTAGTCTATCAAGAACTAAAAAAGCATGATATTGGCTACTAATTAGCGAAGAATAACTGAAAACACTGTAGTCCTTTTAAGTGTCGGTCGCCACTCGAACATTTCAGTGATAACATATTAAGATGTGGTGCTGAGTGACGGAGGTTTGAACTCCCTAGGAGGCATCAGTACCCTCAAGATTACAGTTACGCCTTGCTGACGAGTGCCAACTAACGCAAAAACTAGGTTATAGTTTCCTACCGATTGCCTCAACTCACTTAAAATGCATTTGCTTTACTAGTAACTGATGAATAAAATAAAGAAAAATTATGCAAATACGCAAAATGTACACTCAATTTCAACATAGATACTATCAACGTTAAATAATACAATAATTGAAAAGTTGCTTCTTCAACAGTAGTATACACAGTAATACTGTCACCATACATGGGAAAACTATGCAGAAATCAAAATACTTGCTTACTAACTTACCTAAACTCACTGAAAATCCAAATAGAAACGTATATGTCAATACAATAGATAGAATTGTGAGTTTATTGATTTCAGTCACTCGTTTAATAACCAAAGTTAAAGTGAATAGTAAGAGGCTAAAAAGGCAAGCTGATATTCCAAACATTAATAAAGGACGTCTGCCTTTCCGATCGATAATAAATATGGATGCCAAAGAACCAATTAGAATAGTAACTCCAGTACCAAGATTCGCATAGCTTGCAACTTGTTTTGTTAACCCATTCGATATGAATAAACTTACGAAGTAGTAAAGAATCTGAAGTAAAAAATAACAACATTTCAGCAGTACCGTGAATAAAACATACATGATATAACTCGATGAAAAGAAAAAAGCCAAGAGGATAGATGGAAATTCATTATACGACAAAAATAGATCGGAAACTGCATCCCTATACATTAATTTTTATGGGTTTTACTTACACTGACTAATAATTAGATTTCGAATAAGTTTAACTGAATAGCATTTATCCATCGATTAATAAAAGAATACAATTTATAGATTACCGTAAGTTCGAAGTTCTAAAACTAACATGTATAGTTGACTGAGTTATATGTCTGGACCTTAGTGACAGGAAGAAAAAGATATCATTTTTATTAAACGATTAGTCAAATAAATGTATGGAATGAGTATTTAATAAGTGATAAACTATAAAAATCTATTCACTCATTTCTTCGTTGAACAGAAATATTCAGGGATAACAGTTGGTATAATTTGAAATTCGATCAGTTAAAACAACGTAGGACCTGGTACAAAGGTTCATTAGCCTAAGCTGCTATACCATTTCAGCAGACCGAGATGAGAATAACAATGAATCCAAATAATAAACATGTTTAAAACTGTGAAAACGATCAAGGAGAACATGTTCGGGAAATAAATAAAATTGAGGAATAAGAAGTATGATATAATATTGAAGCTCAAGATCTAGAAAAAGACAAATAATTAGTGTATCTGTAGCACCGAAAACGAGTTTCAGCCATTTATCTCATGAGGATTTCAGCTTGAGAGTCTGAATCTCCTTGCATGACCTAGTCCAACAGTTAAAGCCTTCATGTACTAACCTGACGTTTCGGTTTGGCTACCCTCAGCTCTCTTTCAACATACTTAAAGATTAGACAACTAGCAGATTTTTACTGACTGAAAGCAGTTGGATTTGTTTTCAACTAAAGATTAAGAATTTAAACTATACCACTATGCTATAAAACACCAATTATCATTATTATTTAAGTACATAAACATTAATATAAGGTGGAACCAAAATATATATACACCAACAATAAAAATGAGGTTGTGAAGAGAATGAGAAAGGAAACTGAGTACAATAAAAAACAACAACAATGAATAGAAAATAGTTTATGAGAGCGAGATAATAATAATAACGGGGGAAGCTTTTCAGTTAACAAAAATACAATCAGAAAGGATTCTTTCAGTTAAAGTTACTCTCACTGGTATGAGGAAAGTAAAAGAAAGTTACAGAAGGATCTCTATTAGCTTCTATTCTGAAACCAAAGTGATGTATAATCTCTAGGACCCCAACCACGGAGTAATGAAGAGTTAACAGAAGCCAGTCATGTACAGCTCTCTTGCATACTACGGCACCATGTCATGCATTGACCATCTCTCCGCTTTTTCCAACCAGTCCCAGCGTCGGCAAATAATGCACGATGTGGAATTCGCTGGGAGGACATTCGTAGTACATATCCAAGCCACCAAAGTTAGTGTTCTAAAATGGTGACACCAATTGAATTATCGTTACTATGCCCTAACACACATTGCCAAACCTCTGCACTTAGTGTTGTCACTGAATGTCGGCAATCCGTCGGAAACAAAGATGATCAAACACAGAGAGTTGCTTAACATACTCAACTTTCGGAGAGGCCAGGTTTCAGAAGCATAGAGTGAAACTGCTCTTATCGACGAATTATAGATCCGACCTTTTACGGCCAGACTAACAACATGAAGGCGCAAGAGATGGCCCAGAAGGGCATAAGCCGCTCTGGTTTTGATTAAACATGAATTGATCTCATCACTCATGTCACCACCAGCACTTACACAGCTACCCAAATACACAAATCTATCGACTACTTTTATCTGCGCAGTACCAAGAGTGAGTGAAGATTCAGGGTCCTGCCAGTCTTGTAAAAGTACTTTGCACTTGGAAGGTGTAAAGCACAGCCATACCTACGGATACTGATTGTCAACTGATTAAGTACAGATTGCTTGGCTTGGGTATTATAGCACAGTAAGACAATATCATCCGCATAATTCATACCGAAAAGTCTTTCTCCGGATAAAAGATCTACACCACCATTACCTACATCTATCAGAACTGTTTCCAGAACGTCATCAATGGTAAAATAGGGGAGGAAAGGTGAGACTGAGCAACCCTGCCTAATTCCATTAGCTGAATGAAACAATAGAGAGAGGTGGCTGTATGCTCTCACTCTACCTGAAGTGTTTGTACACAAGGCCTTTACGATGTTCATAAACTTCTCAGACACACCCTTCAACGGAAGATCCCAGAAAACAGTCCTGTTCAGCAAATCGAGGGTGACCCTGACGTCAAGAAACATATTGATTGTTGGTATGCAATAAGCATGGAGGGGTTCTAACATTTGACGGAGGTTGAGGATATGACGAATAAATCCCCGATTAGAACGAAAACCAGCCTCCTCCTCGCGAGTCAATCGGTTTCAGGTTTTGAGCAATCTGCAAAACATGACTGAAGCCAATAATTCAGATGCAACCGGAGACAGAGTTATTCCTAGATAGTTGTTGCATAGGTAACGTGAACCTTTTTTTAAGGATACGGACAACTATCGGTTCATTCAACGATGTTGGAACACTATCTAACCACCAGACGTCTGTAAACAACTAAGCCATTTCCTTAACCAGGTCGCCACCATCTTTAAGAAGGACCGAAGATAAGTCATCTGGGTCTGGTGATTTGTGGCGCTCCAAGAGTTGATATTCCATGCGTACTTCTGCCTCGTCAGGTGGATCAGTCGTCAAAGACCAGGAAGAGCAGGACAGTTTGATCGATGTCATCGGAGCAGCAGACAAGTTGAAATGCTCCTCGAAAAACTCTGCCCATCGTCCAAGACGTCGGTAGACGTGATTGATTGACATCTCATGAGCTTAACACATTGTTTAACTCATACAAGACTTCTTGCTGCCAGTGATTCGAGTGAGTTGAAAGAGTGAACAGTATGATTTCAGGGTGAGATGAAGAGGGAGGACGCTAAGCAGCACATCGACAGTGATTGTTAGCCAGAAACGGGTTGTAGTCTGCGCAAAGTTGCAATAGACGGTCATCGTTATCTGGCCTGTGACCAACAAGTTCGCATTAGCCACCTGAACGACACTCCCTTGTACATAGACCCTTGACCTGCGCATTCAAGCATCCAGATGGAATACGCAAAATGGAAAAATAGGAATAGACAAGTGACGCAGTGCAAAATAAAAATAAACAAATAGTTTTGAGCATGATTTGCGAGAATGAGCTTTAAAGCATGAGTAGTTTTTCTAGTTGCCATTCTGAATGCATACGTGATAATTATATGAAACTTTACCGCTACTCGATTGCAGATCACGTGAACTTTTTAAAGTTTTATTATACAACCTACAAATCAATGTATTGGTAAGGCTTACAACTCAATCTCTGAGAAATGAATGACTAAACTGCCGGGACGCAAATTCGATAACTCTCGACTACCTTAAGCTTCCAAAACTATTATTCGTATATGTATCAGCATACGGTACCTCGTTTTGTTTATTCTTAAGCGCTGAGAATAAGTAAGGCACATTAGAAGACTAAATATATATTGCGGTGGGAATGTGTCCACGTTACCAATATTTCTGCCCGACCGTTGTTGCTACCTTGACGTGATGGTCGGGCTTGCTTATCGTGATGAAGCAACCGAGCTATACTGGCTAGAACAACCGTTCCTCAAGGTTCTACCATGTCAGACAGGTCGGTTGAAGAGCGGCAAGACTAAAAGCAACAAACACAAGGTTCGAAGGCGAAGTCGTACTGCTGACTGTACAGAGGTATGACAGCAGTGAGGTGTTTCTTTCAGACAACCAGCATGACAGCGATGCTGCCTTCTCACAAGGAGGGGTGGGGTTAGAAAAGGTCGACCCTAAAAATGCACACCTCGCCTTATCCCACAGATATCCGTCTCCGGTGGTAAGGTCTTAAGAAGTACGGAGCTAACACAAAAATTAACCATAAAATGGTCGTGTGTGACCGACCTCAAGCAGTTGTCCCTTGGGCCCTGCGGTCACGCTCTCAGGTCACTAAGACCACCTCCAATTTCATTTTCAGGTACCTCCAGAAGAACCCTTCCATGGTGCGGGCAACCGGGAAGTGATAACCGCCCTCATACCTCTAACAGCACTCAAGACCACTGTATTCATAATCAACCTCCCTCTTAAATCCTTATTGTCCTCCCTACATCGACTTTCACCTCTAAACTTCCTTTTTCGGCTTCCCCCTCAAGTGTTACCATGGCCAACGATTCTAGTGCTCAAAACACTGTCCCAGGTCTACTGAAACCTCGCTCAAAACTACACATTGGAGCCTCTAATGTACGCACCCTATGTCAAATCGGTCAGCAGGCTTCCTTGGCTAAAACCCTAGAATCTCGTACCATTGATGTATGCTGTGTCTCCGAAACACGCATACAGGATCCCAGTGTGGTCATTCACTTGACCTTACGTCGACAAAACGGGGAGCCAACGAGATACACCCTCCGTGTATCTGGTGACCCGATGGCCAGCTCTCGTGGACTGGCAGGAGTAGGGATAGCACTAAGCATGAGGGCGGAACAAGCACTGTTAGAGTGGATCCCCGTCAACAGTCGTCTATGTGCTGTCCGGCTAAACGGCTCCGTAAGAACTTGGAAGGATAAGGACACACGTCGTTGCCTTTTTGTCGTTTCTGTCTACGCTCTCACCGACTGCAGCTCAGATGAATTTTACAGAAAGCTATCTGAACTTCTTCAGAAAGCTAAACGTTCAGACATAGTACTCGTAGCAGGTGACTTTAATGCCCAGATAGGTAGTTTAAACCAAACAGAAAGGCATTTAGGTGGGTATTTTAGTATTCCGGCACAACGAACAGATAATGGTGATCGTCTGCTGCAACTGTGCTCAGACAATCGTTTATTTTTAGCAAACACAAATTTTAAGCATAAGGAGAGACATCGTCTAACATGGCGACCCCCTACACCAAACCAACGATGGACTCAAATTGACCATATTGCCATCAGTCATCGTTGGAGAGGGTCGGTAGAAGATCGTCGCTCATTCTGGAGTACCAGCTTGGACTCCGACCACGCCATAATACGGGCACGCATCTGCTTGCGCCTCACTGGACGCAAAAAAGACCCATTAGAACTGAATTGAATAGCGAGAAAACCAAAAGTCTGTTCCAGGAACAACTGAGGTCACCCTTCAGTAGTTCTGAAAACGAGGTTGACCCAGATGTTGCTTGGAAAGATATACAAGCAGCTGTGGAAACAGCAATGAAATCTATCAGTGATTTTAACCACAGGGTTACAAAGAACCAATGGATTTCCTCAAGGTCTATTGCACTGATGGATTTTCGTAAACTCATCTCATCAGGCTCTGAACACAATGAAGAGCGAAAACAAATCAGATCTAGGTTAACCAAAAGTCTAAGGAACGACCATGAGCAGAGGTGGGCAACGAAAGCAAAAGACATGGAAAAGGCGGCTATAGGGAATACAAGACAGCTCTACAGACTAATGAAAGAAACTGGAATTAATAAGTCAAGTGTAAGTCAGACTATTTCGGAAAAAGACGACACTCTCATCTGATCCCAGTCCAGACGTTTAGAACAATGGGCGGAACATTTCAGAGAACAGTTCAGCTGGCCTTCAGCTACTTTACAACTACTCTCTATTCTCACACAGTGTGAATGGAACATTGAAGTAGGTCCCCCAGCTCTAGCAGAAGTTCAAAAGGCTATAGTTAATCTGAAACGAGGAAGGGCAGCTGGTCCAAATGGATTGGCTCCAGAGGTCTTTAAGGATGGTGGTCCAATTTTAGCTAAGATCTGGGAGTTAAACGTAATCCCATCTGACTGGTCACAATCACTTATCGTCCCAATATATAAGAGAGGGTCGAAATCATCCTGTGACAACCATAGAGGAATTAGTTTAACTAATATAGTATCTAAAATACTAGCCTCAATAATTATCAGACGCCTAACTGAGACTCGTGAACTGCAAACACGAGAGAGTCAAGCTGGCTTCAGACCTGGTCGTGGCTGCATCGACCACATATTCACCAATCGTCAGGTTCTAGAACATAGGCATACTTATCGGCGTCCGACAATGGTGGTCTTTCTTGACTTAAAAGCAGCATTTGACTCTGTAGACCGCGAGATTCTGTGGCAGTGTCTGTCATTGAAAGGCATACCTCAGAAGTACATAAACCTTGTGAAGGCTCTTTACTCGAACACTACCAGTCGAGTCAGAGCTTATGGCGAACTGTCATCTGCTTTTGCAACCTCAAGTGGTGTCTGGCAAGGCTGTCCATTTTCTCCATTTTTGTTTAACTTCATCATAGACCTATTGATGGAAATAACACTCTCGTCGACTGAAGTCTCGGGCATTGATCTCCATCCAGGAGGTCCAATTATCGACTTAGAATACGCAGATGACATAATCCTGTTTGATGAAGACGCTGATAAAATGTAGAGTCTTTTGGTAGCACTCAGCAACAATGCCAGAAAGTTTGGAATGCGCTTCTCTCCCTCTAAATGCAAGCTGCTGCTTCAGGACTGGTCTGCGTAGTAGTCGGACGCGTTGACAACTTCACTTATCTTGGAAGTTTGATCAGTCCTAATGGGTTGGTGTCTGACGAAATCTCAGCACTCATTCGAAAAGCTCGCTTGACTTTTGCCAACTTACGTCACCTTTGGCGAAGGCGAGATATCCGTCTATCAATAAAAGGACGAGTATACTGCGCGGCAGTCCGTTCTCTTTTACTTTACGGTAGCGAAACATGGCCTTTAAGAGTAGAAAGCACTCGTAAGCTACTAGTATATGACCACAGATGCCTTAGAAATATTGCTGGCGTCTGCTGCGATCACCGGGTAAGTAATAGTGAGGTTAGACGCAGGGTATTAGGTAATGATGGTAAATCAGTTGATGAGGTTGTTAATCTTCATCGACTGAGATGGTTGGGCCACGTGTTACATATGCCCGAACACCGATTACCACGACATGCAATGCTAACGGGTGTTCGGGCTGGTTGAAACAATGTTAGGGGCGGCCAAACCAAAACATGGTATCAGTGCTTGAAGTCACTTACTTCTAGTCTGAGCCATGTTGGTAGATGCAGACTACTTGGTTGGGGTCCGTGTGACTTTCGTAACCGATGGTTGGAGACTCTTGGTGACATGGCTCAGAATCGATCACAATGGCGTCGGTGTATGCACTCTCTGTCTTCCCTCAAAGAACTCGATGACCCGAACAACCAATAAAGGAGAAATAAGGGGAAAATGCGTTAGAAAATAAAGAGGAAACGCGCCAAAATGTCTGCTTCATGTCATTCTTTCTACGAACTGTTATAACTCTGTTTCTTCTTACGGTTAATGACCCAGCTATTCCTATTGCTTAGTATTCTCGGACACCGATTCACTCGACAAGTCCCCAAATCAGAACACGGTTGAACAGGAAAAAGATTATATTCCAAATAGCAAGTCAGAAGCACAATAGAGGAAAACGTCGGTATATTTATAGTTTTTACATAAGAAGATTCCAGAGTATTTTCCGACTATCGACTAGTGCTGATTGGATAAGAATCAGCCAATCAGCGTGCACCAAAACAATCATGCATTGAGCATGCTTTAATCTAGTCTATGTCCCGCTAACACGAACTAATTCTTTATTCCTGTACTATGATCCTGATTGCAATCTTTCTTTTATATATTACCACCTCTGAATTAACTACTTTTATGAATCCAGTGTCCATCTTGTGTTAATGAGGTATGGCAACTTGGACCGACACATATATGTGCCGGGTCCTACGTTGTAGCTGACTGACTGACTGACCAATATTTCTAAGCTTGAAATTTTGCAGGTTCGAAGTTTTAGCTAGGTAATTTAGTAGCCTGACTCTCAATTACTGAGCAATGAATTTCATGAGCTTCGACCTAACTACATAGTAATTTAAGAGGTACAAGTGACAGAAAAGTGTAAGAATTTCAAAAATTTCGAACATTCATATTATAAAGAAAGTGAAGTATAAAGGAACAACTTAGTGAGGACAAAAAAATTAACGAATAGACGAAATCGAGATAGTGAAAAATTGGAGATAATCGTAGGCTAAATAAAAGGTTAGAAAACTCAGTTTACACACACAACCATGGCTGGAATTAGAAAATTATAGAAACAAAGTTGAAAAGAACTTAAAAACCACATTAGTGTGATAAACACATATATTCACACTTTAAAATCAAGATTTGATTAACCAGTGCTGTGAAAGAAGAATCCCCAAACTTTGAGAGATCACCTACCTTTTTTGAAAACACAAAGACATTCTAGCACAAAGCACCTAATGCTTAAGGCAAATAATCTGCTTTTGACTTGTGAACGCTACCACTTAGACGGAGTTAAGTTAATTATACACTTGTTTTTTAACTTGATTAGCTACAAATAAATGAATGGAAACTGAATCGGAGATCCTTTGACTAAAATAACGGTCCTAGGTACCTTTCATAATTGCACAGAAGTGAAAGAGGTTTGTAAAATAAAAAACTTATCAAAAAGCAACAACGGATAATCTTTGAATTATTTTCTTGTTATAAAGCTAGTGGACATGACAACAAATAATTCAGGAAATATAAGGGTTGTTAGGAAAAGTGACACCTGGAATTCAAAGTTACTTACTCCATTTATACCGGAAAACTGTTGGCCAATATGTAGTACCAAAGCTACAATCAGTCCCCATCGCAAGTATGGAATACGTAGTAGGTCGAAAAAATTTGATTTATGTGTAGATGACTGTTGTGTCTCCATTTTTAGTAGTTCTAATTCAGTATGTACATCGCAATCTTGCCCTCGAAGGTAAACCAATGCTAAACATGTAAAGTGAATGATAAAATATATAGTACATTACCATTTTCTGACCTTCGACGATCACCTTTAATAATATATAAGTAAGTAGGACTTTCAGGACAAGTGGACAGAAGTAAAATATGTATGACACTGGAAACGGTACATAAAGCTTTCAAAATATGAGCATTTTTATTATCATACCAAGTAGATATGGCCATAATTCAGTTGTCCCCATCACTTCAGGCAGACCAAGCACTTGTGACAACAATATAGCGAAAACAAGCACAAACTGATTGAAAGTTCCCGCAGCTCCACGGAAATTGACAGGAGCTATTTCTGACAAAAACATAGGCCCAACGACTGTATGAGCGCCTTTTGAAATATTTCATAAATGATAGAATTACCACAAGCTATCCCAATTGTAAATCTCCCAACAATAATCATTTCGAAAGATTGTGCCATTTTCGAAAACATCATCAGGAGTGACCCAATTACAGTTGGGATAGAAAGCAGAAATAGTGATTTTTTCCTGACAGTAAACTGTAGAATAAAAACAACTTACCGGCCCAACTTGTTAGCCAAAACGCCACCAATCAAGCCTCCAAAAAATCCCCCAAGGAGGAAGGACGTAACACAGAGTGACCATATCAAGTCGATGCAACGTTCATCACATGTGACTGACCTAGCAACCAGAGTAGCATTTATGAAGCTTTTGATCAGCTAAATAAAGTTCTCTGTTTATTATTAAACAGTAACTTACGTCAGCAGGTGCATTTATCACTCCACTGTGATATCCAAAAGGAAACGCACTCCCCAATGTTATGATACAATATGGCAAAAAGAACTTCAGTCGTCTCATTGATTGCATTTTATTCAAAATGCATAAAGCTGAAAAACGATTCACAAAACGGTGAAAAGTTGTAGGTAAACATGATCCAATTAGAGGTAAAACGATAAAGCGTAAATTTCGTATGGGACTGGGAATGCTGTAGACGTGAGTGAACGTCATCTGATGGTTACACATTTTGGTGTAGTATTATGGTTATTAAGAAAAGGTGAAACAGGTCCGCGTCCATTTCTCACTAAAGGACTGCAGAACAAATGACACATATGATGTTTGTTCTTACAAATCCTAAAGCAAGCAATAGTTTGTTGATGATTTGATCAAAACGGTGTAACTGGGGAAACTTAGAAGTAGGGTCATCAACAACATAATTTGATGGCAAATTGTTCAAAACCACAATTGCCCTAGCTTAATCTCAACACATTAGAGATCTACTGGATCTGACTTATGAGGCTCTCCGTCTCTTGGATCTAATGTTCACACATGGTGACGATGTCAGTCAAGTAACTTTACCCCCACCTCTAGGAAGGGGTGACCATGCAGTCATCTTATTCTTCTCACTAGTTCGAGACAACTCAAAGGACATAATAAACGAATAGAAAATCCAAGAACGAACAAAATACCAGTGGCATACAGGTTTTCACACCGAGTCATCAATTCTTGGGATCTGTTACCCGAAGTAGTGGTGTCTGCATCTCCAAATGACTCATCTAAGAGACACAGAAGCATACTAGAAAAGGAATAACATAGGCCATAGGCCTTCTGTCTTTACTACACAAATCTGAATGTTTATTTCAAAGAACTCGATGACCCGAACAACCAATAAAGAAATAAGGGGGAAAATGCGTTAGAAAATAAAGAGGAAACGCGCCAAAATGTCTGCTTTTTTGCCTTTTCGGGGGAAATAACACGGATTTTCATATCTATGTTGCTGAATTATCTACTTTCGCCTATATGTACTCTAAATTGTCTACTTTTCGCCTACATGTGTGCCGAATTGTCTACTTCCCGCCTAAATATACGCCCTCAGGAGGGCTAGAGTATGCAATTACGGCCGAAACAACTAGATTCAGCATTTAAAAACAGATAGTTATGCTATTAGCATCATTTCTTTTTTCAGATATACAGCAGTATACGTTTGTATATCATGTAGTATATCAATAGCATTAAACGGTTTGGTAAATGAAACATACCACATCACAACGCAAACATAGGGACTATGAACAATGTGATTGGTCGAGGTAATGCTTCAGTGGTATCATCCAATGTTGTAGGTTACCGATCCCTTCAAGGTCAACCTGTCAAACTGGTCGATAACCATTGTAACACATGTAATCAGCAGTCACTGAAAGGCGGGAAGACCTAAAACCACAACACACACAATGTTAACCGAGCACTTCACACCAGAGAGAGAACACGGAATGGGAACTACCAGTCGTTTATTTGAAAATTCGCGGGTTATGTACAGAAGGGAGATCTAGTTTACAGAACAGTCCTATGAGTCATCCTGTAGGTTCAGTGCACGCAGAGCTTGCTCTTTTTCTTCTTCTAAAGCATTTATTCTTGGTTGCCCTGTAATAGAAAGAACAACAGAATCTATTAACAACACCATACATGATGATTTAAACCTCGTTACATCGCCCCCTCCCTAATGAGGCACTGTCCTCAGTGTCTGGTCTTGGGCATGGGTATGCTGTTCCTCCTTCTGATGGTACTTCATAAAATCTAGTGGCCGGCGAACTGAGCATCGAAGGGCATTGTCATTCGATCCGGTTTTATTTGGTTGTAGTGTACCGTTATCAGGTTGTTGTATGTTACGCAATACAAACGTAGTGGGGGATCGGATGAGGACAATTTCGAAAGGACCTTGCCAGGGCTGGTGGAATTTACTGCAACTCCCTAACGCGTAGCCAGACGCGATCTCCGACTGTATACATCGGTCCTCGCACCTGACGATCATGTCTTTTTGATGTCCGCCTGTTGACACTCGTTGGTTCATAAAAATTTTCGTCCTATGTGTTAAACGATGCAAAGGTGTTGCTAGTAATGTGAAGTCGTGAACAAAGCGTCTGTAATAAGAAGCTAGCACAAGGAAGCTACGAACGTCTTCGGGTGATTTTGGTTGCGGCCAATTAAAAATCGCACGTGTTTTTTCTTTATCTGTGCCTACCCCATCTGCAATGATACGATGTCCCAGGAAGATTACTTCTTTCTGCAGCAGGCGACATTTGGACGGTTTTACTTTTAAATTGTGTTGTTTAAGGCGCTGAACTGCTTTCAGATTAGTATTGTGTTGTTCGGGTGTGCTACCATACACAATAATGTTGTCAATATATGTCAAGCATTTGTGGGGTACTATGTCTTGTTAAACTATTTGCATTAGTCTTTGGAAAGTAGCTAGAGCGGTAGGACTCTAATTTATGGACGAGCCAATCAGAAGCGTTTATGGAATTTCAAGGTCACGGCGCTAAGTTCAGTGCGAGATGCTCACATCCGATCGTTTTACAGCAGATTTTAGAGAATAGGTGATCGTTGAGAGACTACAGCAGATGGGACTATTAAGAAGTTCCTGTGTCTGTGACTGCGGAAATTAAATGACCGCAGCACGATGTGCAGACTGTCGCGATGACATTGTATTTCGTTGTACTATATGTTGTAGAAAAAAATCTGCTCGAACTGGCACTTTTTTTGCCCGGTCACGGCTAAGGCTAAGACAAACCATGATAATCGTTGCAAATTGGATCATAAAGTCTCCAGTAACATTAGCTGCGGCTATACCGATGATTGGAAAGCGTATAGATGCCTCTCGAGACTTGGTTTTGTGCATCATGTGGTGGTGCACAAACGTCATTTCTTTGATCCAACGACGGGGGGTCCATACAAACAACATTGAGGGCATGTGGTCTAGGCTGAAGTATTTTTTAAGACCCTACCACGGCTCCAGATGACGATTATTATGGAGTCATATGGACGAGTTCTTATACCGCATGCACTATGATTTCAAAATTTCTGGACCTATATCAAACCTCAACAAGTTCTTAAATAATGTAAAAGAAGAATACCCATTGTAATTCATTACTTTTTTATTATATATTTTCACTTCATACTAACTCTCTTCTGATTGGCTAATGTCCTCAAGGTCACTTAAAAATTCGTTCAAAGGTCGTCCATAAAGTAGAGTTTCACCGCTAGAGCACTTGTTAAACCAAAAGGCATCACTTGAAATTCACATAGGGCACTGTCATCGACGTGTGCTGGTTTGAGACGATCAATGCTGACGATCTTGACGCGGCCATGTCGATCGACCTTGAAGGTCTTTTCGTGACGAGAAATCACGCGAAAAGGTCCTTCGTAAGGCTGTTACAGAGGTTTGCGTACTGTATTTACTCGTATGAACAGGTATACAACTCTCGAGGGAGAGCGACCTGTCGACGTTGTATTCGAGTGTTCGCGAACACTGCCTCCGGTGTGCGCATAAATTCAGACAGTCAACGGACGTAGTCTGATTCACTGAAATCGTTACTGCTCCGTGTTGTGAAAAATTCCCCAGGCAGACGCAATGTCGTGCCGTATACAAGTTCAATGGCGGAACACTGAATATCTGCCTTCAAGCTCGTTCTGATACCTAAGATGACGAGCGGTAAGGTTTCGTACCAACTGTTGTTTTCGTGTGCCCGAAGAGCACTTTTAAGTTGGCGACTAAACCGTTCAACTAAACCATTTGATGCTGGGTGATAAGCGCTAGTGAGTATGCGTTCCGTACCAAGCAGCCGGGTCAGTGAGAATAGATATTTGGGGAATTTCTCGAATAAAGCGTGGAACATATCGTCATGCGGATGAAAGACACATAAGATTCAGTACGCGTACATCGAAGTCTATTATATTAATACTATTCTTATCGTTATCCGTTATCTCAAGTTATTACCAGAATATTATATATTGAAAAAATATCAATATGACAATGTACAACAGACGTGGATAGATAAGTAATAGACTCACCGCAATCGGCTTCTTTGGAAGATTTGACCAGAGGTTAAGACTTATTCTTAGATTTGGTTCACCAGTTGTAGTGTGGTGTCGAGTCGCGGTTGACTATGATCAGCACTACAGGATGACTACGTGCCAGTTAACCGATAATATCCCCGTAAGTCAAATATCAGAAGGCAGTTGATGGCTGTAGTCGAGTTGTATTTGTTGGCGACCTCGTGGTATCGAAAGAATACCGAGATCGTGCCAGGTCACAAGTGCGGTTGCTGAGCTTAACCGAATTCACGCAAGGTCACGATGGGAAAACATGCACATTTTGGTACAGTTAAACAAACAAGTACGGTAAAACAATCCCTGGTATAATTAGTTATAATAATAATTTTTCATTACACCAATTGCGTTCTCTTGGTGAGAGTATTTTACTACAGAACTATGATATTGTAGGGCCAGTGAAATGTCACTGAGCCCTAGCTAGATCACCCGGCAGTTGGATCACTGAATGTCGAACAGATCATCGCTCCCTGCCAAGGTAATGTACAAGCAACGCGCATTAGTTAATCATATGCCATGGACTGGCCCATGCGGCAATGGTCTTACTTTCGCTTGTATCTACCTTAACTAATATATTTCTGTAATAACGTCCTCTGTGTTGTACGGTCTTCAAAGCATCTATGGTACCTTGATACGTCAATGTGGTAGTCCACGTAAGGTGCTGACCATGAGGTGTGACTTCGATGTTAGCTAGTTTGTCACACCATTCACGTCTAACTCGAGTAGGTCTGCAATCATTTTCGACATAGATCGTCTACGTTGGTGATCTACAATATTATTGTCCAACCTATGTTTTATCATTGCATCTAGTTGCATTTGGTAGTGCACTGGTCTCTTGAGATGTGGCTGTCAAAGTGGCATATGGTCACCTGTGGAGATAGGGTATTGTAATGTAGTTTTTCTATTTCCGGAAATACATTCTTCAGACACAGAACTAAACTGCTTGAGCACTGCAATCGTTGCGCAACGATCATTCTCTGAGATTA